GAAGACCATCCATCCAGCTGGCATACTTAACTCGACGCTTCAGGCAAGCACTGAAAAGAAGCAGACGATTGCAGCCGCCTTCAGGCTGACTTAACCCGAGTCTTCGTGCCAGCGAACCGAATAGAAGAAGACTATCCATCTAGCTGGCAGACTTAACTCGATGCTTCAGGCAAGCGCTGAAAAGAAGCAGACGATTGCAGCCGCCTTCGGTTGACTTAACCCGAATCTTCATGCCAGCGAACCGAACAGAAGAAGACCATCCATCCAGCCGGCAGACCGGCAGACTTAACTCGACGCTCCAGGCAGGTACTGAAAGAAACAGACTGGATCCGAATCTTCACGCCGGCAAACCGAACAGAAGAAGACCGCCCATCCAGGCGGCCGCAGGCAGACGTAACTCGACGCTCCAGGCAGGCACTGAAAGAAACAGACGATTGCAGCCGCCTTCAGGCTGACTCAATACGAAACTTCACGCCAGCAAACCGAACAGAAGAAGACCATCCGTCCAGCTGGCAGACTTAACTCGATGCTTCAGGCAAGCACTGAAAAGAAGCAGACGATTGCAGCCGCCTTCAGGCTGACTTAATCCGAATCTTCACGCCAGCAAACCGAATAGAAGAAGACCACCCATCCAGCTGGCCTACCGGCAGACTTACTTCGACGCTCCAGGCAAGCGCTCAAAAGACACATACGATTGCAGCCGGTGACTTAATCCGAAGCTTCAGGCAAGCAAACCGAACCATCCAGCCGGCCTACAGGCAGACTTAACACGACGCTCTAGGCCAGCGCCTACGGACAAGCAAATTATCCAGGGGCAACTGCTGCTGCTGCTAAGCACCGAACACACTTGGACACTGCACCGTCAATCTGTTTAACACAGTCATTTCAAGGCAATTGTGTTTCTAGATGCTTCGAACGTACGCAATCCAATCCTCAGCTATTGTCCCAGACACACACACACAGTTGCCTGCGTCCAGACGAAGAGATTTATTGAGCTTGGCCTGGCCGGCATGCAATTCTGTTGCTGGGTCTCCAAACACCTCACGTGACATGTGGTCTATGACACGTGCGGTGCATCCATGTGCTGCAGAAAGACGCTCACTCCTTTAATACGCTTTTGGTTCCGTGCTATCAATTCAGTTCAGGGCTCAAACCACGGGCTTCCTGCCACGCACGCCTGCACGGCGCAGGCTGTCTTGCCGAGTCAGGGTGGTGGGCGTGAGGCGCCGCTTCCGACTCTTTTGATCAGAAATTGCGGGCTTCTTGTGAACTGCGGCTTTGACAATGGCTCGCTCAGCTGCCAACTGCGGCTGTATTCGCAAGTCGGCTTTGCAGGGCGTGTGGCCATCTTTCAGCTCTGCACACCAGTCCTGCCATTCTTTTGCCGTCCAGACCTGCATTGAAGCTGTTCGAGCCAGGAGCTCGGCTTCTGCCATCTGTCTGGTGGCGGCTCTGTACAAGGCAGCGTTGTGAGTCATGAGCTTGCCGAGCCTAAAAATGAAAAGCTTCAGGGAAAGCGTGCTTTTGTGAATTTTTTGTGTTTCCCGGAACCAGTTGTTAATTTCGTGATGGAGTGCCTCATTCGAGGTTGTCCCCACTGGCAACAAACTCAAACGGCTTTCTGCAATCATATGGCGCATGCGCAAATTATTAAAGTACCACTCGGTACGCTGACAAGCCGTGGCCGTGTGCAGGAGTTCATAGATTTTCCTGTTCGGGCCAGGACACCTCCGTTCCACGTCTGTACGATACACGGCGACCACGGCTGCCAGACTGCGAATCCAATCGATCCTTTCCAGAAATGGCTCCTGAGGATTTAAGGCACCCAAAATGTCGTTGGCCTTCCTCAGCGGCATGCTCTTGTCCTCGATTTGAACACGCGCTCTTTCTTCTTCGCGGGTCAACGGTCGATGGTTGTTGCCCGTGAAGATCGCTCCCCATGCAGTAGGCCCGCACACTGGGCTTCTAACTGTGAACTTCTGCATGATGCTCCGCAGGACTTTGGATAAAGCAGTTCTGCGGCGACTCGACGCGTACTCGCAAGTCATCGGCAGATGCACAGGATCCAATGCAAGCACCTGCAAATTGGGGCAAATTCGCCGAATGCCTTGCCATAGTTTGGTCGATGGGTTATCGACACTAAGATAGCGAATTTGTCGCAAAGCTTCAGAGGACATGTGGGACGCCAAGGCCTCGATGACGACATCCGAGTCTTCAGATGATACAGCGCGTAGCAATACCACCGCGTTCGTGCGACCTCTGCACGTGAGCACCTGCAAGGGACACCGCAGAGGCCTTTGTACTATTATGTATAGTTTTGTTGCAAATCGATGTGTGTAACGCCTTATGTTTTTTTTTTTTTTATGACGTGTGCGGTCAAGAGGCTCGCGTCAACGCGGCTTCGCCCTTGAAGACAGCCTGCGCTTTGACTTCACGCGATGCTCGTGGATGAGCCTGCCCCATAATGGGCAAGCAGCATCGCAGAGTTGCGTCCATGCTCACAACTTCGTATTCCTCGTGAGAGATGAGTTCCTTGGATAATGTATCGAGCAACTGAAGTATCCGAGGACTCTGAAAAACGTCCTCGAGCATGGGCCACCAGTGATTTGCATGACGCGGTATCAGGCTGCTCACCTCGCCCGGAAAGTGGGAAACCAGGCGAGCGTGCAACGCGTAGACCTGGAAAGATATTGAGTTCCGGAGCTGGTTCTGCTTACGCTATATATGTTGTTTAGTTTTTTTTGCGAATAAACCTCCCGCATGTAAAGCTTTGGTCAGCGCCTTGGCATCGCACAGCAAGAACTCTTTGAAAAGCAATTGAGCGAAGTCATGCGTGTAGTAAAGATTCCGCACGCGACGAACATCATGTTTCTGGACGGTCGCCAAGGGCCAGTACTGCGGACCGGAAGATGTCAGAACCAAACGTATTTGTTTGTCCAGCACCATCTGGCTCCTCGACACGGAGTCATCCAGATGAGCAGAGAGTAGAGCTGCGCTGCGGGCAAGGTAGTTGCCTGCTTTCCGGCGCTCACACTGGTCCTGGTCGTGGAGGGCGATGACCACTTTCAATTGTTTTGTGCCGCTGGCGACAAATTGTTTTGACCTGGTGTGGTGCTTTTGGATGTGAGCTACCACTCGACCAGGTCTGTTCCGCTCCCACGTGCGGGAAGGACAGAACGGACAAGCAGAAACCTCCGCCTTTTGGATGACCAAGGCTCTGGAACTGGAATCCTTGCTCAGGAAAGAATTGACTTCTTCTTCCAGAGCATCCAGAAGTCGATCCGCGACATGGGTAATGCCCTCGTCTTCCTGATTGTCTTCGTGCTCGGGATTGTCTGAAGAAGAGAAGGGCAGCTCCACGTCCCGAACGAAAGCGTCGGGAACTTCATCATAGTCGCCACCGGCCGCACCGGCTTGTGTTTCCAGCAGAAGCGTGTACTCATCCTCGTCCGCGTCCAAAGGACTGGATTCCGGCTTGTGGCCCAAGAAAATGAAGAGGATGTACTTTCGATCCGTGGCCTCTGAGCACATTCTGCTAAAATCTTGCATGGACATAGAAAACCTCTCTGCGCCATCTGTGATGCGGACGGATTCGGCTGAAAGAAGTTCTCCCGCGACGCAGTGAGGCCTGCCGCCCGTGGCCAAGTGGATGAAGAATTTTTGTCCGATTGCTAACCTCTGAGACGGGAACCGTGCGTACAAGTCCAGGTCGAGATGTGCGGAAACCTGTTGGTAGGTGCGGCACTGTCTGCGAAGGAAATATGTGTGGTCGGGGCCTTCAAGGGTGGAAGCCATACGCATGGCCTTCTCGGGTTCACCCAGATGATGCAGCGCTGCAAGAATGCAGTTCCCAGGTTTCGCAAGCACCTCGGGAAACACTACCTCCTCTTTGTTCTCGACGCGGCGCAGCATGGACATGAAGTTCTCGTGCTCCTTCGGCCGGATGCGGACCTTGAAGTCAGTCTCTTTCGAGATCAACATCTCACAGTCTCTGCAGAAAGTCTCAGGGTCTGGTAGCACCACGCTCCGATCGATTCTTAAGCCGTCGAAGTGAAGTGAAAGGTGTTTGGAATTCAAAGTCCTCGCCTTAGCGAGCCAGGCGTCCAACACGACGTCTTCAGCGATGTTCCAGAAATACGTCAGAATGCTGAGGTCTGGGCGTTCTTTGAAGTTCAATACAGACGCCCACATGATGTCCTTTAAAGCGGTGGCAGCCGCCCAGCGACAGAAAAGGGAGGCTCTCTGCAAATCCTGGACAAAGACGTTCTCGGCAAGTTCCGCCGGCGGAGCACCGCCGTTGAAAATTTTCTGAAGAAGAGACTTGCCGGTGCTCTTGTCTTTCTGCAGCTTGCTCTGAATCACTTCTGCGCGACGGTTGGCGCATGCGTCCAGGGTTTGACGAACTCCGGGCCAGGAGTCGTGCTGCGGTTCCAATTTGTCCAAAAGTTGCAGGATGAGACTGAAGCAGGAGTTTTCGATGTCGAGATCCACGGTGTCCGCCAGCACGGCTGCCTGCCAGGCGGTGCCGAGATGTTGCACAGACCTGGACTCTCCATATCGGCGAGAGCGAACTCCGTCGAGCTTGTAGTGATATGATGTAGTCTTGCTGACAGAAGGATGACTTTCAGGAAAGGGATTGCCAGAGGAGCCATGGCCACCAGACAATCCTTCGTCAGCAGGGACTGGGCTCGATGGCTCGGATGGCAATATCCTTTTCTTTCCGCGCTGCCGCCTTAGGGGGCTGACGGATGAAGCCGCAGGAGCGACGCCCTGTGCTTCCGTGCGTTCTGAAATGCGGCCCTGCAAGAAATCGAGCAGACTCGAAGCGCACTCTTCGTGCTTGGACAGCTTCTCGGCCCGGGATTTCCAGAACAGAATGTATTGGTCTTGCGTCAGAGAGTTACGACCCCTCTTCCCTTGCACCTTGCCCAGTACCTTGGTGAAGAAGTGGCGCAGAAGCTCGGCGTTCGCAGCTCGACTGGGATGCAGCTCCAACGCGTCCCACAGTGCGCGGGCGTTCAAGTGCTCTTCCAGCAACGTGGTCTCTTCGCTGTATTTGTAATCCAAAATGTCTGCCAGCTGCTTCTTTAAGGGAATGACAGGGATGAAAACGTCTGGGTTGGCCTTCTTCTCCATGGGCAGCAACCATTCCTTCTCGAGAAGATCTTGCCAGATGTTTTTGTCCAGGCCCAATTTGGAGGTCGCCCATCTTTTCCACCAGGCCGTGGTGTACGAGGTCTTTCGCACGGGCTCCGGCTTACCCGGGCCAAAGCCCAAGGCGTACTCCACGACAAGCTTGTTGGCCTGACTCAGCGCGTCCTTCGGACAAGCGCTGTTCTCCTCGCTTTCTTGCTGCAAGAGACTACTCAGGGCGGACTGCTTGCGGTCACTCTCTTCTTCCTTGGTTCACTGGAAGTTACTTTTCCGACTGCGAAACTTGACAATAACCGATCATGTCAACAGAACACATGTTTGCTAGCATAAAAGCACTTATGCTCACCATATCGATCAAGACTCGACTCGAACCTTCAGGCCGCAAGCCTCTCGCATCTTCTTCTCCGTGAGGCCACTCAGCGCCACCTCCTCAATAATTCTACGCGAACTCTCCCTGCAATGCTCTGCCTCAAAGCCATGTTGCATTTCCAAAGACGCGGCGATGGCCGGCCCGTTAACCAAAAAAGTCTTCAGCGAGGCATCTTTCAGGAAAATGCCGTCTGCGTCTGGATCCTTGTACTCCTCGCCGAAGTCGGTGTCATCCACGAAGATAGGCTTTGGAATCCAGACCAGACACCGTCTGTAAATTGAGTTGAAGTTGGCCTCCATGACGTTCCGGAAAGTCATCACCCGATTGGTTTCGAAGCGCTTGAAGCCGACCACACGCAGCATGCGAGTCACGAAGCCGTACGGGCGACGACCGGCGAGATCGTCCGCAGACATAAGCTTTTTGAAAAGATCCTGTTGAAAGTGCCTGTGGGTCTCAGGAGCTTCTTGAGCAGTAATCATCCAGCAGTTTGCAAACTGCTCTAACTGCTTCCGGAGTTCATCTTCGTTATGAAACAGATTTGGATCAATAAAAGCATGATTGTGCGCGTATACAGCATCCAGATGACTGCTGAACAAGGACTGCCCCGTGCCGCCAGAAGATTCCCCAATGAAACATCTGTCGATGTTTTCACCACGCTTGGCCAGCGCAATAGCTGCTAACGTGGCCTTGAAGTAATCTTCGTTGCACCAAAAGGTCTGCCGGATGAATTTATTCAAGCGCGCCCTTGCGTTTTCTAGCACTGGGTCCGGAAGCGAAGAAAGCAGTGGATGAGGGATCCTGACGTATATGTTGTTGTCTGGAGAGGGTTGTACGAGTCGCACGTGCTCATCTGCAGAAAGGTCGTACAGGAGTGAGACGTCATCAAATGCGCAGCCGGCTGTCCGAGTGGGCGGAGTGTCGCACCATTGCGCAAGGAATTGCAGAAGTCGACCTGCAATATTGTTTCGGCTGCGTGCTTTGTTTCCTGCAGGACTCCATGACTATTCACAAACCGAAAACTCCTGCTAAATTTAGGACAAGATGCGCTCTTCCAGGAGATCTTTTTGCAGCGGGCCGATGAACTTGCCAAGCATGTCCGCGGTCCACGTGGGCCAGCCGGCTGCGTCGGCCTCACCGCCTTGGCGCCGGCGAGCAGAGCCGGGACGGCCGGGCAGAGTCATGATCGCCTCGTCCTTGCAGACGTTCATGAACTCTTCGTCGCTGTTGTACTCAGCCCGCAATCTGGACATCTCTCGTAGGACGCCGGAGTCCGAGCGCTGAACGTCCACCGACATGAGTCGAAACATTCCTTCGAGCTTCAACAGAAAGTTCTTCAGCCGGTGAAAGGTGGACTCGGGTGGGACTCCGTTGAATGCTTCGAAGGCGCCCGAATCATGATACAGATAGCAGACCCCTCGGTGAGCACGCAGGAACCGCTCACCTTCGATGATCCATATCAGACCAACGAAATCATGAACGAAAATGTCCGTGTAGCGCGTCCGATACACGGTAATTGCAGCCGCAGCCATGCGAATCATTTCTTCAGACCAGTGCTGGCGCTCCTGGCGCACAAGCTGCAGAATTCTCTGGGTTTGCTGCTTGATGTTCCCGCTGCCGGACGGGGCCTGCGTCTCTGGCCAGTTTCGAAGAGAAGTCTGGTAAGCAGATGTCGCCGAATCGAAAAAACTTTGGAACGCTGCCGCTGTGGTCGATGCTCCGGGCTGCAAGCGCCTTCTCTTGGCAGCTGCCATCGCCTCGGGGGTCAGCGCCGAGGGAATGGCCACCTGAAGCTGTGCGTCTGGGACAGACTCCACGACTTGTCTCTCGTCGTCCTCGGCCTGACGTTCTTCATCTAACTCCTGCTGAAGCATCTCCTCAAAGGAATATTGCTGGGAAGGGTCAGGCTCTAGGTTGCTTGCGCCGCCAGTCATTTCCTGCCACGCAGCCCCGCAGCGCTGCCGATGATGCTGCACCATGGAGAGAACCTCATTCTCAAGGTCCGGCACATCATCTACGAACGGACCCGATTCCGAATTGTCCGGATGCAGGCAAACGACGTACATGCCGCTGACAGTGAACCCGTAGTGCCGTTCAATGATGTACTTGTACAAGTTCAATTGAAGGCGATAATGCCAGCCGGCCACATCTGGAATTTCTTGCAACGGCCGCATCATGTTTCGCCAGGGATTGTTGTATTTGGAACGCAGCTGCTTTGTGCGCTTCCAGTCGAAGAGAACCAAGCTTCCGTCCGACGCCTGTGCGACAAAGTCGATGCATCCCGCGACACTGTCTTCTTTGGAGAAAATACACCACTCCGTGCGATAAGCCAGCAGATTCCGACTGAATGCAGCAAGGAACTTCTGGAAAAGTTGTACTTCGATGCAGTCGCACGACGCGTAACCTCCGTTGAGAAGGACTTCCAGCTGCAAGTGCATCCAAGTCCCGCGATTGGCTGCTTCCTGACTGTTATTTTGCCACAGCTGCCGGATCTCGTCCGAAGTCATCTCGACCAGGTTCCCGTCTTGCAGTTTGGAATACTCTGCACGCGGCCAGCGTGAACTACGTTTCATGCTTTGTATGGCCGCCGCAGCATCGAATGGCTGCGAGTAACTGTGCACCAATCCAGTGACGGATGTGGACATGGCCGCGCCGTCGACCTTGTAGACATGAGACTGCGCCAGGAAGCTTACACGCAAATCTCTGGAGTGTGGGTTAAACTCCGCCAGGAAAGAAGCCTCCACTGGAGTCCGCGGCATTTCCAGAAAATTAGTGGGCACCCTGGTGAGCTTCGGAGCTGCGCATTGAAAAGAAGCAGCGCTTGGAACGCGAATAAAAGAAGTCCCAGCACCATACGTTGGACAGCAAGCTGGAGAACAGCCTGACTCCCACTGAACATGAAACGAGCTCTCACTCTGGTCCTCAGACGCGTTGCGTGTCTGACGCCTGCGAGTAAAAGCCGTCGCTCTGCTGCGTGAAAGACGCTGCCACTGAAAAAAGTTCAGACCGTTTCCCAGCTGTAGCTCATGAGCCCCATGATCATCCACTGGGAGAGCGCCTCCGAACGTTTCTGTCCACGTCGTCTGAACTCTGCTTGCGCCAGAAGGAACATGTTGTTGTCGTCCCCGAGTTTGCTGCTGATGAAACAAAAGCACGTGAAGTTGCAGTGCGCAGTCCATGGCGATGGATCGCCATGCCTCCGAGTCGTCAACAGTGGCAGGGTGTCGCAGACGCAACAGAGGACTCTGGCGTGAAGTCGCAAGGTCCTCGGCTTCGGCGTGCAGGAATCGGAACAGCAGCAAATCTTGTTTTTGGTCCAGAAAGTCAAGGATGGCTCGTGCCCGATACATGAGGCGCTCCCACGTGCGCTTGCTCATGCCTGCTCTGGCCTGTGGGGCCGGAATGAGTTGGACGGCTGCGGGCGTTTCCCGCAAGAATTCCTCATGATCTCGAAGAAGTTTCAAGACGACGTTTTCGAACTTGTCGTCGCCTCCTTCCAGCTTTCCGCCTTTGAGAAAGAAATCAACTGCGTCCCTGTAAGATATTCCTGTCTCTTTGCGCCGGGAAGAGAAGGATACCCCGCTGCTGCCACCAATGTAATCTGACAATTGCAGCGGGCAGCCCGGACACTGAAAGCTGGGCGATTCGTGGGCATGTCGAGCACAGATCCAGCTGCAGCATTCTGGACACACTCGCCATCGACCCACCGTGATGGGACGTTCGTCCTCGCAAAGCAAGCACTGAACGTGGGCGCTCGGAAGAAGAGGTGACGGCAAGGGCCTTAGCTTCAGATCCGGCTGCGTGAGCAGCCGTTTTGGCTGCTTCGCCCAAACGAAAACAATCGACTGCGGGGCGGGTCCATCCGGCAAGTCCTGGCGGATGCGGGCACAGCCGAGGGTCTGGTGGTTTAATTGCACTGCCAGCCAGCGTTCATTCCACATAAGCATCATTTGGTTCCAGCCGTTGGCGCGCAGCTGACTTTGTTGCATAGGCCGATGGTCTGGATCCAGCGCCTGTCCAGTCATGCCAAAGGAGAAACCCATGCGCTCAGTGAAGAGCTCATGCATTTTCACGAAGCTGCGCCGGTTGCTGTTGAAAGACTTTACGCCCACATAGATTTCACGAACCTCAGCCGAGAGCCAAAGACAAAAACGCGCAGTGCCGAGTAGGCAATGCGTGGACTCGATGCTGGCGTGCCTGACTCGATCCAGCCTGATCGGCGCCACTTGCCACTCGATAAGCGCCCTGAGAGCAGTGAGGGCAGGCTGACGCATGCTTGCCAGCTGCGTTTGCGTGCACACGATTGTGCGCGCCAGAGACCACAATGTTTCCATTTGTCGCACAGCAGCGGGCTCCCGCATGTCTTCGTCATTGAGAAACAGGTCCTTGTTGCACCACAGCAACGGCTGCAGCACATGCCTTCTCAGTGCTGTGCAACAAGTAGCCAGAGATCTGAGATAGTTCAGCGAGAAGAAGTGTTCCGGCAGGCGAAGTACGATTTCTGGCGGCAAGAAGCACGCGTCCGCTCCGCCAATGTAGTCCAGAAGCTGCGCCGGACACGTGGGGCAACGTCGAAAAGGACTGTCGGCCACATGTCTGGAGCAGACCCAGTTGTTGCAATCTGGACACACACGCCATCTGTGAATTGCCACTGTGTATTCGCGGTCGCAGATGGCGCACACAATCTTGGCGTTCCGCATGACGGGAGACGGCATCGGATTGAACTCCACGTCCTCCGTTGAAGCCGAGAAAAAAAAGGTAGCCAGAGGCGGCGCGCCAGACACCTCGCCAGGTTGCAACAGCCCTGCTGCCACAAGTACGTCGTCCAGCGTGACGCTGAGGAATCTTTGGCTCCAGCGAAAGACAACCTGGTGCAACTTGCGCGGGGTAAAGGAATGAGAGCTAGCAGGCTCATACAAGCTCGGCCGTCTGCCGGTGACGCCGAAGTACCATCGTGGACGGGCCCCGACAGCGCACACGTTCTTGATTCGAACGAAAGTGTTTCGAAAACCATGCAGCTGTCTGGAGCCCATCTGCAGGCTTGTCACGCCTGGCGGAACTTTCAATGAAAATGAGGCCACACCCAGGAGTGGCGAGCTCGAGAAGAATCCTCTGACTGGACCCGGAGGAATGGGATTGCGTGGAGACCACTGTACACGGACGTTGATCGGAATTGTGAGCAGCTGGGCTAGCTGCGGCACTTCCATTCGCAGCGATGATGCCGATCTGCACAAAACGGTCATCGACCGCAGATCTTCAGCACGGTTGAAGTCTGGCCCTGCGAAGTTCAGATCGAGATTCAGCCATCTGCTGGAGCGACGGACGCATCGCAGCATGCCTCGAGAACAAGCAGCAAGACGACTCTGATAGGCAGGCGCCAGAAAGTAGTCGGGAAACACGTCCAGGACATCTGCTGGAAGGCTTCCCCCCGAGTAGCGCACGTCCGCGTTGGATTCGAGATCTTCAATTCTCACCAATCTGTGTGGAAAAGGGCTCCAGATCCATTCCGCATCTCCCCAATGGAAATACGTGTCCTGCAGCGCCGGCACGTCCTGGTTCACCTCCTCCCAAAATCCGGAGCCATCCGACTCAGTTGCTGAGACTTGGCGGTTTATGGCAGGTGCTTCCTGGAATTGTATTTCTGTCCACACTTGCAGAAGCCGCTGGGCGGAGTCGACCTCGGTTTTGCCTCCCTGGTACTGCCGAAGAGCGGGACCCATCTGTTGGCACGGCAACGCACCATCATCAGGCACCACGGCAAAGACAGCGTCCAGATTTGCTGGGTTTAATGTAAACCACCCTTCCTGCGACTTCTGCACGGCCCGACCGACTGTGTTGTTGCAGAGGCGGAGATCGAACCACGAGTGTGTTCTCATGGACGAATTGGTCTGAAGACGATGCCCGCTGATGCAGCGTGCTGGCATGAAGTGGGAGGAGAACGCCAGGATGTAGTCGCCGGGAGCGCTGATCATCTCGACAACGCAGGAGGGCCGAATGGTTTTATTAAATGGCCTGAGCCACTCCATGCCATCCTGGATACACCAAGGGCCCTTGCCCGGATAGGGCACCTTGTTGCCCAAGGCGCGCAGGGAGTCGACGAGACAGCACTCCTGGTGGAAGTTGTCCCTCCGACCTGGTCAGCAACGTGCCATTCGATAACCGAGCCGACAACAAAGTCAAGACATAAATCGACGAGGAGACAGGTGAACATGACTGAGTCTTTGCTCTGGTTGAACTTGAGATGAAACAGATTAGTGAAGATGCCTGCGACGTCTTCGATCTTTGAGCTGCAAGTCTTGACCGCGCGGGCTTTCGGCATTGCGCACATCAGATTCCACGCCACGGCTTGCTCCCTGGTGGACATGACTCGAAAATAACTTCCACCTAATGACTGACGTGAAGAATATATGTTTTCGCACGCAGTCACGGAGCCCGCCTGGACAGGGATGGCCTCGGCCTCACGAGCTTGATCTTGGGCGGTCCCTTGTTCCTTGCCACGTTCTGGACGTCGGCAGAGATGGTGGCCGTGCTGTGTGCACGAGAGCACATGTTGGCAACGAGCTTGTCGTCTGCAGCAGAAGGACACACGTGCACACACGGTATCGTGTTTGAGAATCAGCGCTTTGTCTGGTTTCGTGCGCTTTCTACGCAGTCGAGGCACAGGAGGAAGGAGCAGAGATGAGCTTGCCGTTAGCTCCGCGATGGACCAGCTGCTTTCCGAAATGTCGGCAGCCGAGCCCTCGGACTCTCAAAGGCTTAGCGGTTTAGTTCGTTGGGCTGCGTTTTGTCAGAAAGAGCACGTCTTGTACTTAGACAAGTTGCAGTGCTGCTGATCCTCCATGGACTGCAGACCCAGAAGCCAAGCCTGCGGGGTGGGACATGACGACGCACCAGCCCAATAACATGTGCACATGGACAGCTTCAGCTTCCACTAGCGCCAGCCCAGGGGCACTCCATTCGCCGCCTTGGTTGGGCAGGT